CATGTATTGTAAATTCTGTATGCATCAATGCAGGTCTCTTGGCATGTACTGTATGTTAATGTTACGTGAACCTGACCCCACAAATGTGAATCGGATGTCACCAATGTCATATTGAGAGTTGATAGCCAAGTGCTATTTGCGAGTTCCAGCCTGAAGAATAGATTTTGGTTTTAATTGATTTTTTTCCAGAAATATAATAGTTGCTCACTGTTAAATGTGACACTGACCCCCCCCCCCCCCCCCCAAAAAAGGGGCCAACATGTAGTTATGGATAAAGGCTTTACAAATTTATAATTATTTGTGCCCTTAATCAGTACCGCCTTTTTTATAGATACAGGGGACACAATAAAATGAAGAAAACTGTCTTGTATTTACCCAAGTTTTTACCCAAACCAAATAGACTATCCTATGTGTCTGCCATATCTCAAAAAAAACTAATGAACAGATGGGCTAAAAGAAATGAATCACTATACCACATTATTATTGTTAATGGGAGCTTACATGTACTTTGATTATAAACCTAACCCCCTATGGGCTCTTTGGGGGCCAAGTAATACCACAGAATAATTCCTGTGTTTTGCACACTTGTGTGGAAAGAAATGCATACTACAGGTTACTACTCAGTAGTATAATGTAGCTTTGGCCTAGGTGAGGTTAAACTCTTTAAATCAAAATGAAATGAAATGGTTCAAAGGTCAACAGTAGAAAGCCTAGTTGAAAGCAGACCCAATCGAAAAGTTTTGTTGAAATCAGGGCCAAGTCAGAAACTATGATCAGTTGAATCTCCAGTTGGTCAACACAAAAATAAAAAAACACAAAAAAAAAGTTGAAGGTAAGGAAATACAGGGTATGTCAAAAGAAAGCGACTGACTGACTTATGTTTGTGGACAAACACATGGCTTTTTCGGCATTAAAGTGCACTTTTATGTCATGTTATTATACAAATATTGAGAGGCTCAGAGTGAAATGAGAGGAATATCATCGCAAGGTAAAATCTGGACTTTTCCAGCACCTTGAGTGAACTGGAAAAGTCCAGATTTTACCGAGCGATAATATTCCCCCCATTTCACATATTAAAGCCACTCAATATTTGTTTTATATGACATAGATCCTTGTCATTTGATATATTTGAACTTTTATTTCAATACAAAATTGGTGGAAAATGTTTTTCTCTCTTCCAAACCACCCCTTCAGGAAAATGCTTGAACCCAACTCTGTAGCGCTGGTTCTTTCGAACAATACGCGCTACATGCAATGCTGAACGCGCATACTGGCATTTGCACACAAATACCACGTCTTGGAACAAGGATGAACCTAACTGTTCAATAGTATTTCACTATTCAATAAAATACACTTTTAATGTGATGTCACATGTCATGTGATGACGTCATTATAAATCACTTCAATTTTCATCTTTAACATATCCTTGCTTAGGTACATGTATAACCAAGTTACAACGAGATCAGACCTATAGTTCTGCAGATATAGGCCATAGAAAAGTGCACCTTTTGTGTAATGTGACATGACGTGTGATGACGTCATCATCATGATGTCACCTAACAATTCATCTGAAACACATCACAGTCTAGTACATACCAACTTTCAAATGTCATGTGATGATGACCTTGTCACATGACAAGTGACGACATATTAAAAGTGCGTATTTTGAAGGCCTATACTAAACAGAACAATGGGTCTGATTGGGTTGATGACGTCACTTCAATTTTCATCTGTAACACATCCTGATCTAGGTACGTACCAACTTTCATCCCAATCGGACCTTTAGTTCTGGAGATATAGACCTTTAAAATATGCACCTTTAGTGCAAAGTCATGTGACACATCATGACGTCATGATGATGTTAATGTTCAGCACACATTGGCAGGTGCTGGTCTAAGTGTGTGCCAAGTATAAAGGCAATCCGATTGATTTTAGTGCCCATAATGCCATGCACGATGATGATTTGTACAGATATATGCTTATGGACAATGGCTGAAATAAAAAATAATGAAAACAAAAGGCCGTTTCGACTATTTGCCGAAACAGCCAATAAAAAATATTTTTACAATGAACTAACAGTAAGTAGTCTTGGAATCTAGTTTTTTCCTTTCTTTTTTCCCCTTTATTTATCTACATTAATCTTGCATACTTAAGTAATATTCACCCTAACTGAATACTTGTTATTTCTTCCAGCGATTCAGCATGAGCAGTGCTTTGTTACAAAATTTCCAGAATTCAGATTTTTACAAGCTTTTTCTTTCATTCATTTGCCTCCCTGAATATTCATTCGTATTTTGTGCCTTCCAAAGGCTGATTGGTCCATTGCTGAGATGAATGCTGAGATTGGGGAGAGCCACGCCTACCTCTACACATCACAGACTGATGAACAGGTACTAACACAACAGCAGTTATGTGGTGCCAGTCTAATTTGAAATCTTTATATGGGTGCTCAAAAGGCTCAAAAAGAATCATAACGCTGAGAGACATAGTCCTGTCACATTTTTTTCTGTCCCAGTTTCTTTAGGGCCACAAGATTTCCCAGTTACTTGAGAAATCAATCATAATATCTGTTATAATATAATATCTGTTGGGGTTCTTTTTCAATTTGATAAAACAAAAAATTGTTGAAAACTATAATACTTCCTTTCAAGACACAAGAGGATATACAAGACCATACTTTCTCAAGTCAAGTAACTTCACAAATATATTTCACTCCCAAAACACTATCACAAGGATTAAAGACAAATTATACAAGGACCTATTTTTTAAATTTTTTTTATTGAAATCAAATATTGAGACTGACATTCATAAGTTTGTAATAGGATTGAAGAAAACCCAAAGCCTTAACATGCACATTAAAGGTGTAGTCCATCATTTGTATTTTGTGCATTTTGTTCGTTTGTAGCAACAAAAGTGTTAAACATCTAAAGATGGGTGCTGAACAACTAACCTGATGAAGTTTCAGCTCAGCTTCAGCTGTATATTTTGAGATAAACAGCATTCTAGGATCTCGATTTCAAATCAAAAGTTGCTGAATCATGTTTTGAATTGGGCCCGAATTCAGCGTCCGAGACATGATCTCACTGAGCCGATTGTAGCTACGCGATGTCGCGCACCGATCCGACAAATTATAGCAGCCGCACGCGCGTGTGCGTCGTGCCAACGCTTGCGCGTGCGTCGTGCCAACGCTTGCGCGTGCTTCGCCGAATAAAAAAAACTAACTACTAACGGAAATTTCCAACGGTGCATCTTAAGATGCACCGTTGGAAAGGCCTTCTTTCGCTGATTTCTTCAAAATGACAGCTTGCCAGAGAGAATAATTTCACAGGGAGTTTAGTCCCCTTTCTATCTTTCAACCAAGTATGTTTGTCAACAATAATACGCCAGTTACTTTTTGGACAGTTGCAAACGATGGACTATAGCTTTAAGCTTTCCTGTGCTCTAAAAAAATATATTCTCTACCTGGGTTTGAATGCGAAACATTCAAATATAACTTTAGTTTTGGGTTACATATTGTAATTGTGAGACGGAGAAAACCTGACATTGAAAGTGATTAACTTTAATTTCATTTCATTTCTCACTTTTTAGGCGAGAGTGCATTTAGTGTTGAACTCCTTGGCAGAGAAACACCATGTGGCTAGTGTGTCAAAGTAAGTGTGTTATTCAGTTATCTACATGCAACTTTCCAATTGGAAGACAAATTTGTGGCAAATATTTTATATTTTAGCAGACTGGCATTTAACCGTTACAAATCAAAAAGTATTTACAGCATTTTAAGTACACTCTTTTTTGTGTGTGTCATACAAGCAATTTTTGTTCATTTACTACACTCTGTTTTGTTCCAATGGTTGCAACAGTCATGTTTTGATGTAGTGAATACTACCTGTTTCAAACATCAAACTTTTCATATACTTAATTCAAATCTTAAGAATGATTTGGGTTTTTGTTTACTTGAATGACATATGGCCCTCTGCAGTATTTAGTATTGTTTTCAATTTGTTGTACTCAACATGGTAGTTGAGTCCATCACAAGTCCTCACAAAACCCCACGAGTCCACCACAAGTCTTCCTGCCTCAATTCAAGTCACAAACTCTTCAAATGAATTTTCACAAAGGCATTCCGTTGCTACTGTTTATCCCTTGTAACTTGTGACTGGACTTGTAAAAGGACTTGTGATTTACTTATGAAAGGGCTTGTGATGGACTTGTGATGGACTTGACTACAATGTTGCCTGTAGTTCAGAATTTTAGTTCCAAATGTTGTAGTACTCGTACTCGGTACTCGAGTGTACTCGTACTCGAGTACTACTTAAGTCCTTTTTTTTCGAGGACTCGTACTCATACTCGTACGCGAATGTCAAAGTACTTGTACTCGAAATGATGGTACTCGTACTCGGGCAGCAAAGTACTCGTACTTGACATGTCAAAATTGTACTTGATCATCAAGTATTCGTACTTGAATAGCAGTACTAAAAAAAAAGTGGTATAGCTTGACTTACCACTGCCTTATTTCATTGTCGATACTTTCAGTTGGAAATTATTGATTGGCTTGCAGAGAAATCAAAGTTTGCTGAATTTTTTCTGTGCATGTCCGGACACACACATTTAAAAGCTAGCCGTGAGTGGGTCTGTATATATCGGTCTGACTGGGCCTGGGCCAATTATGCACAATGCACCATTTGCCATGATATGGCCGTGTTCGGAAATAGAAGTACTTGTACTCGGAATACAAGTACTCATACTCGGAAGTACAATTACTCGTACTCGGAGACCTAAACTTGTACTCGGAGGTACAAGTACTCGTACTCGGTAGCCTAAGTACTCGGAGGTACAAGTACTCGAAAAAAATTACTCGACTACAACACTTTTTTTTTCATTTTCTTTTCTCCATTCATTTTCTTCACCAAAATCAAAACATTTACTTGAACGGGGTAATTTCCCTTGATTTCTGACAGAACATCTCTGAAAAATGCACGTAAAGTGCCTAAAAAAGAAACATTTTAAGAATTCCACCGGAACATCTTTCAGTCTCAGACCTCTTCTGGCGCAACTCTACTTTATATGAAAATTACATTTCAAAAGTATTGTACTATCTGAGGGTGCTCGGACAAAACATTCATATGCTTGCTCAGGTGGGATTCGAACCCATGACCTCCTGCTTACTAGTACTTGCGGGGATCGGCTAGCTGCAATAATTTCATCTTGCAGTAAATAAGCATCTGTTTGTTTAGAGTATTAAGTTTGAAGATATAGTCCATCATTTGTAATTTGTGCATTTTGTTCGTTTGAAGCAATATAAGTGCTTAAAATCTAAAGAAAGGTACTGAACAACTAATCTGATAAAGTTTCAGCTCAGCTTTAGCTGTATACTCCGAGAAAAACAGCATTGTAGGGTCTCAATTTCAAATCAAAAGATGCTGAATCATGTTTTGATTTGTGCCTGAATTCAGCATCCGAGACACCTTTTCACTGAGCCGATTGCAGCTATGCGATGTCGCGCACTGATCCAATGAATTATAGCAACCGTGCGTGCGTTTGCGTAGTGCCAATGCTTGCGCGCGCTTTGCCGAATAACAAAACGAACTACTAATTTAAATTTTCTACGGTGCGTCTTAAGAAGCACCGTTGGAAAGGCCTTCTTTCGTCGATTACTTCGAAATGACAGCTTGCCGGAAAGAATAATTTCACAGGGAGTTTAGTCCCCTTACTATCTTTCAACCAAGTATGTTTTTCAACAATAATTACGCCAGTTACTTTTCGGATAGCTGCAAATGATGGACTATAGCTTTGAGTTGACTGGCTGTTTGTGCTTGATTGAGCAGGGTCATGTACTGCAGGCAGCAGACCAGAACCAGCAACTTGGAGGATTTGAGTCGCACACCCTCAGACGATGAGGATACCATGGAGGAAGAGCGGGACAATAATGCCAACGAAGAGAGGGTCAGTAACATATTATACAAATATTGACTGCTTTGAGTGGTGTAGTAAAGCTAGCCTCTCGAGGTGATCCGTAAAGCATTCCATTTGCGAAGCCGAGGGAAAATAGAATGCTCCATGGATCACCGAGGGAGGCTAGTTTTACTACACCACGAGTTAAAGCAGTCAATATTTGTTTTATAACACCTCTCCCATAGATTCTGCTTGACTTTAAGCTATAACTGATTAATTAATTCCGAATACAGTTAAACTTTACTTCTATTGAAATTAATTAGTTGAAAATTAACTTGCACTTTTCAATCAGAGAAAATGGTTATGTCAAATCATACATTGACATCGTACATGTGCTGCCTGGCTGGTCATTAGTCTGCTCCCTGCCTCACATATTGTGCTAATTAACAGTGTTACAAGTTCCAGATACACGACCATCACTCCTTCAGTCTGGCTTCCAGACGTATATAATTACAAAAATTACATCACCGTATGCAAATGGTGCCCGACTAAATTTATAGTGCAACATATATGGCAGCCCAGAGAGGCCACATAAAGCTTATACTCGATCGTTACCCCATCTAAAAACACATAAAATTGTGCAGTAGCAGGATTCCAGTCAAACCAGTGAGTTGGGCAGTTTTGAAACATTGAAAAAAAAGAAGGAACCTTTTTAATTTTGCCAACGCGCATGGCTACAGCGATGCGCGTACTGACCAGAAACTGGAGCCTCTTTTTTTTGGCCTGATGGTGTTTCTTTTTTTTCTTTTTTTTTATATTGCTCTGTTATTTTAGGATTTCATTCACAAGCTGGTGGTGCATGAGATCCGTGTCTCGTGGACAAGGTTCAACAGAGATGCGGTGCTGGGACTCTATGACACCTACAACAAGTCACAGGTAAACAGTGCCATTCAGCGAGCAGGGCTTAACAATGTCGCTTGCGTTAGAAATAGCAAATCGATAGTTTGAGATTATAACAAACAACAAAATGATGATGTCGTTGTTTCATTAGAAATCAACAATCATAATTTTGAGATCAATTATTACCAAAAATGATTACTAAGGGACACATTCCCATAGGGTTGTGCACAAAATTTAGTGACCCCTAAACCCCCAATTTTCCCTTGTCCTACCCCCACTAATTTTGTTGTTTTTATGTTTTGGACCACAAGCAATTGATCTAGCCTATTTGCGACGGTGACATTCTTCCTTTAAATACAAGCTGAGACATTAGGGAGTCATTGAAATGTCTTCCTAATGCTGTATGTCTCTAAAAGTATAACTTAACGATGACAAAATGCCTCTTTAAGGGTAAATTTGTAAGATTATAGTTGACCACAAAATGATCATCTCTTGGTCTTTTATTTCCTTATTGGGGCCAGAATTAGGGCGATTCACAATGCAGTGCACCACCAAGAGTTTGCCATGGAGAGTCAACATTTCAAGTTTACGGTCGACAAAATATGGCCCATTTGAATAAGTGTCAGTAGACAGTTGAGCTAATTTGTTATAGATTGGGGCATAGCGTTCTGCTGCCTTACCAAAAATCACCATATTGATACAAAGAAAAGAAAAGGGCGAACATATACTTGAATCATACGCTTACAAAACTACTGACCAGAAAAACTAACAATTTCAAATGTCCCACAATGCACTGGGAAAAATGAACTTACTGTGGCAAACTATTGGTGGCGCTCTGCACTTTGAATCGCCCGAATTAAAAAATGATACCAATCCATAATGTGATTTTCTCCTTGTTTTATATTACCCTGATTTTATCTGATTATTTTGCCTTGTATTAGGGGGAAAAATATTTAAATCTCTTATTTTTATTGATTGTGTGCTGATGTTACTTTCTGTTACAAGTCAATAAATGAATAATTTGTTCACCAGTCTGAGTCTATAGAAATTTTGTATTGATGTACCATTCCTACAAATCTCATTTATATTACCCAAAATTTGAGCCAAACAAAAAGTGTATGAAAATCTTCGGAGCTTAATTGTATTGAGGTGAGAGTTTGCAATGTTACCAATCGTCCATGAATAACATGACAGGACCAAAACTCTACTTACATGATGACTTTCAATTTTTGCAAGTATTCCACTGGCCAGTGTACTTACCTCCAGGGAAAGATGATGTGTATTAAGTAAGATTGGAGGCTTTGCATGGTGGCGATACTAATGAATGAAAGGTTTGTGGAAACACCATGTTGGCATCATTTCTCAAACTAAGAGAATGGTTCTGAAAAGAACCAGAGGTATAAACTTGACGTTCCAGTCAGTATGCTCTGACCGTCTTCAAGAGAGTGCCTAAACTCTAAGAAAGTAAACACTCGAAAGTATCGAAATCGATGAAGCGTGAAGGTGCATTCTGTGTGGATGCCGAGTAGCTGGGATCCTAGAGCAAGCTTGATGTGCCCACTGAAGTGGAACAGTAGGGCTGCAGTCTCAGTAGAGGGGAGGACCTAGGGTATAGGAGACCCATTAGTCTGAGGTGATAGCAGAGGACCTAGGGTATAGGAGACCCATTAGTCTGAGGTGATAGCAGAGGACCTAGGGTATAGGAGACCCATCAGTCTGGAGGAGTGGGAGCCAGATGTTGTTGAGGTGAAATCCGATGTCTTGTGGTACTGTATTGTGCTTGCGGATCTCGATGGCTTCCCGTATGCGTCTTGGATGCCAGAACTGGATCGTGGCCATGAGTGCAGCCACATCCCAATTAACTTTGTGGTCATTTATGTGGAAATGTTTGACAATGGCCGAAGATGTGTGTTATTTTGGTTTCATATTTTAAATTTTTGTTTAAGTCAGTACTTGATTTATCTTCAACCTTATCTTTGATTTTGTTACCAAGATGCTGAAGAACAATTTGTCAACAGAAGCTCTGAAAGGAGTGAAAGTGGAAAGTTCAGCACCGACAGTGAGTAAAAGTTCTTTTTCCAAAACAAAACCAAGCCTATAACAAACCCACAAATGTATTTTATTAACAATTTATGATTCTTATCATGAATGTCACAATGCATCATCAGTCTTAGAGCTGTGATGTCTTTGGAATGTTTAATAATGATCAGGGGTAATAATGATGTGGCATCCTAAGCACCAATTCTGATGGATATTATACAGCGTGGATAAAAAAACCCGAAACCGAGATATTATTGCTAATTGGAACAGAAGTAGGGCACATGTGAATCAAAGGGAGATATCCTCTGTTAGGGTTGAACCTACTTTTTAAAAAGACACCCTGATCGTGTCCTTACATTATATGTCCCAATTTTATGAAAGGGTCTATTTAGAGACTTGCCCCACTTTTCATATTGAAATCTCTTTGTTTCTCCCACCTGCCTTGATTGGCAACATAGCCTTTCACTCTGAGCCATAAAGAAAAAGTTCACTGCTCAGTCAACCATGAATGTAATGACATGACAGGATGTCATTTTAAAGAGGAAATTCAACAGAGGATATCTCCCTTTGATTCACATGTGCCCTACTTCTGTTCCAATTAGCAATAATATCTCGGTTTCGATTTTTTTTATCCACCCTGTATAAGCTTTATAATTGAATCGAATTGAATTGAATTGAATGGTGGGCTTTCTATTGTTACTGATTTTTTTTACAGCGATTACAGCAGAATGTTTCCACACCTACTCCAAACCCGCTAGCAGCGGCCAACACACCCAGTCCCATCAGTAAACTCCAGACCGGCCATGGAGCAACGATGCTACATCAGCTGCTGTCAGAGACTAACACCAAATTCAAAGTCTTCTCAGAAGAGGTCTGCTTGATTTTCCAATGTCATTTTGTGTTCATACCTGTCATTGCCATGGATGTCAATGTCATTGATGTGACATATCAGCATATCAAGGTTTAATTTTTCGGGAACCAGTGACTATCAAAGTTTGACTGTTACAGAAAAACAAGAAAAGATAGTAACTTCCATGTAACTTCTGTGTAATCATTCAACAAGTTAAACTGGACACAATTTCAGTCAAAACTGTACAGGTTTAGTAAAAAAAAAAAAAAAAAACACACCAAATGTGGGGACCATTGTTTAAGTGAAATTATGCATATAGCACTTTTAAAATCTAGGATATGAAAGCCCAATTCATAAACTTTCTTTTAGTACAAGAATCATTCAAATCATTCATGTACTTTTCAAGTTACGGAATTTTAAACACAACCACCGTTTTAAAGTTCTGACCACGGATCACAAAAAGGTAAGTGTTCTTTCAGCAAAACGAAAACAAATCACATAGGGATTTGTGTGAATTGTTTTCGTTTTGCTGAAAGAATGCACACCTTTTTTGTGATCCGTGGACAGAACTTTAAAACGGTGGTTGTGTTTAAAATTCCGTAACTTAAAAAGTACAGGAGTGATTTGAATGATTCCTGTACTAAAAGAAAGCTTATGAATTGGGCTTTCTAATCCTAGATTTTGAAAGTGCTACATGCAGAACTTCCCTTAAACAATAGTCCCGACATTTGGGTTTCACTTTTTTTGACTGACCCTGTATAGCTCATCTCCTTCTACCTGAGGCCAAGAACTTATCAATCACCCCTCACACATGAATTTCAAAAGCCTGGCAAATAACAATGAAGTCATGATAACAAAACTGTATTGAAATATGGTAACTTCAAAGCATTGCTTGAAACTGTGTAAATTTAGATCAATTGGTATACATGTATAACATCTCTGTCCATTGTTTCTAGACATCAGGCACTAGTAGTGATCAACTACAAGGTGTCAAGGCATGCACATCCAACGATGTCACCATGAAGAATTGGCTTAGTGAGTTCCTTCGCTGCTAATTTTTCCTGAGACTTCTTTCAGTGTGTTTTTCATTTCTAGTCACAAGACTTGCTTGTCTCTATTTATTCTATCAATGCGCTTTCATATTTTAATGCTTGATTTGTCTTATACCAATGTACTTTTATAAAAACTGTGTAACTGTTTGCTATTCTGGAGCATGCACATCAAAGCAAAATCAGTGAATGGTCAATTTGTTGATTGTTGATTGCTGTACCTCCTCTAAAGTCACTTTATCAAATTGTGGTGCACAACGCAGCTGTGCAAGTTTGGGACTTTGAAATACTGACTCACTAGTGTAGTATTGCACATGCCTACGTGAGAATTGTGAACGATCAACCAATGAAACGGTAAAAGGCACCGGATTTCATAGAAGTCCAAATTTCATGTGACACTGGGAAAGTGCTTAAGTGACTGACTGGCCAGTCAGTCTTTATCAACCGTTTAAAACTGGCCATGTGATGGGCTGTCCACCAACAGGAATGGGTAAACTGTCTTAGGTATTTATGAATACCAATTATCAATGTATATCTGGTTTTAAAAAACTAAGGATTTCCGAAAAGCATCTTAGAAGAGATACAACTTTGGATATGTTATATCACAACAAACACAAAATTGATGAAAAATGTGCATACAGAAAGATGGTTTGAGGCTTCATGTACATTGCAGGGAAAAATAGGTTGGTGGTACTCCTAAGATGTAACTTAACAAACGTTCATCTCCCCAATTCCATCTTCTGAAATAAGTTTTCTCTGTCTTGCTTTGGATGTGATCAGTTGAGCTGGAGAACAGCCAAGTCATGCTGAAAGGCTGCAAAGCGTCCGGTTATGTCATCGTCTGCGCGTCTAGTGCCCAGATCATGCAGTGTTCCCACTTACCAGCCTGGAGGGAAGGGCACCTGACCAACAAGACCAGCTGGGTGGGCAAGTTGGATGGACTACAGGTTAGAATATTGTGGGATCAGACAAAGAAGAAGCGTTACCTTAATTAGAATTGTGTGTGCATCTCGTAATTATGTAGTGGGTACAGTTTGGACACTTTGGATGGGAAAGATAACTTGTTCAAACCCACAAGGTGCAAAATACGTAGGACTAATTTTATTTTGACTCTTTACTTGAGCATCAGGCACCGCCAGCAATTCATTCAAGATTCCCTACCAGATGTCTCCCTCAACTTTCTAGTTGAAACCATTGTGGGGGTACTTGTATACAGAGTCCAAGTCACTATCCGCTCCGTTCAGAAGTACCCCCTCACAGGCTAAGGAAGTACAGTTGGGGGTGACCGACCAACGCCATCTTGCCTGACTACAATTCATTTGCTGCAAAGCACGGCCACTGCATGTACATAGTACAAATCCCCTGGTGTACGCAGGTCACACACAAGGAACAGTGCGAGTCAACCAGCGAAATGTCCCGCCCATGGGACGTCGTTGCTAGGTACAATGGCGCCCTCTTTGGTCGGCGCACGGAGCCCATGAAGGACAATGCATGGCTGAAAACTTGTATACTCACCTTGCTTGTAAATCTAATATTTGGGTTTCCTTTTCAGTATTTTGCCACCGTGGAGACGCCTTCCTCTAACTCCAGAGACGAGGTCCAATGGCTTCCAGTCTCCAGAATCGAGCCCAGCCCGCAGCGGGTGACAGACGTGCCGGACATGGTGGGCAGCGGGGAGTCTGTGGGCGGAGTCGTCAGCGACACGGTGGGGGCATCGCTGGAGGACATTGAGCAGGAGTCGGTGCAGCTACAGCGGATTGCCTCCCGCTGCAGTTGTCAGTTCTACTACGCAAGCTACGGCGGGGAAGTCAGCCGCAGTGTGGCAGCCGAGATGCTGAAATCGGACAGTAGTCAGGTGACTCAGTGTGCTTCTTGATTCTCTTTTACTTTTACTCTCTATTCATATTTGTGGTGTGCTGTGGTCCAATGGTTACGGTGTTCGACTCTTGTGCCGTGGGAACATGACCAGTGCTTGTGCTCTTGAGCAAGGCTCTTTACCATTATTGCTTCGTCCTTCAGATGGGACGTAAAGCCGTAGGTCCTGTGTGTTGTATTAAAGAACCCAGTAACACTTATCGCATAGAGAAGGGGTTTGCCCCGGTGTTTCTGGCAGTGGCTGCAATATGCGCCGCAGCACCTTGTAAACCCTTATAAGGTGCTACATAGTGGGTCTCACATTTCTCATTAACTTCATTTGACCTGCTTTGTTTCTACTTTCAAGAGGATGGCAAGCCCGTTTTAAGTAAAAGTGACTTGGTTCTACAGCATGGATAACCTTGGGAGGCAACTTCATATTCACCACCCGAAGCAGTCCATATTTGTGTACTATAACACACCTCAAACTGGTTCTTCATCTTGGATGGTTGAAACACGGTCACGTGTGGTGAACTAGACTAGTGCATGAAATTCGCGTGCAACTTCCGTAGTAAGGTGCCTGATTGGGCACTAAGCTCAACATTTTTTTTACTTCACCACCCAAAGCAGTCCATATTTGTGTATTATAACACACCTCATACTGGTTCTTCATCCTAGATGGCTGAAACACGGTCACTTAATAATTTTTTTTACTGGTTACAGCGTTCTCTCAAAAACCCAAACTCACAATCTGAATCTAAGGAAACTAAAAGCGTTCCTTGAGTGTTGAAGTGCTTATAGTTGAATTGCTTATGAGTTAATTGTTTAATTAAAACAGTTCAGTATCTTTTCGGTTTGTGATAACTCCATGTGGTTATAACTACTGCTTCGAAGATATTTAGTTCTGAAAAGAACTTATCCTGCTTATTATCAACTTTTGCTAAGTAGTTTTTGTTCTGATAAGAACAGTCCTGCTTTAAGTTCTAAAAAATCAGTTCAATTATGAAATCATGTGAAGTTTCTTTTCTTATTTTATATTTTGGACAGAGATGAGTTATAAAACACATATGGACTGGCATAATTCTTTCACTAGTTCGACCTTGGGAAATAGGACCCTCTTCTGGTCGTTCACAGTCCGTCGGGGATAATAGACGTACAGTAGTGACCTCATGGCCAGTCTGTATGTGTATATTATATTTATAAGATTTTTGAAATAATGTTTGTATCTTATTCCACTCAGGATGAAGAGTCAGACGGCGTCTTCAGCAAAGAGGAAGCGGTCGATTCCATGACCCTGATGTACCACGACCTTCAGATGTGCACTAACTCGGCTCAGTATGACATGATACTGGACATCATTAACAACTTGCTGCTCTACGTGGAGCCAAAAGTCAAGGTATGTGAGAAGGTTTGGTATTTCCATCCAGGATGCAGGTCTTATTGACTCCTTGCAGGAGCAGTAGATGGGTTTGTTTTGACACTCAGTAAAAGATCCAGTGAGTGAGACACACCACATGTGCACACACCGGTACATTGGCATTATATTCCAGAACAAAGCATTGCATTTGTTTTTGTTTCCTTTAACCCTCCTATATGCAAACATACATTCAGTGCAAGTTGTCATTTCAGTCAAAGTGACTGTTTTCAACAGTTAAGAGCTTCAGTCCTGCATAGAGCAGGATTGACTGGCTGTGACTGTTTATGTAACTTGATTGATAAGCCAGCTGTGCCTACTTCTTGCCGGCTTTTTTTCTGTTGACTGAATTTGACTAGTCACAGTGCTTGCTTAAAATAGGATCTGACTGTTGGTGACTAGCCTGTGCATTTGTTGACCATCTGCGACTGTTCAAACAGTGAGGACTGTTCTCAACAAAAGATTGAGGACTTGAATGCATAGTGTAATCTTGCAGTCCTCATAGGGTATGTAATATACACACTGGTCCACACACAGATTATTGCTAATGCCTTTTCATCTGAATGTCTACAAGCGCATAGGTTCATGGAGGTGCTAGGAGGTACTTGGCTTACAGCAGTGAGGGGGTAGTAGTGCACAGAATCCTTAGCAAGTGAGACTATTTTTGTTGCTTCACCGTAGATGTTAAGCTTATGTAAGCTTTTTTTTTCTATAACATTTCAGGAAGCCATGGCCAGGATGCAACACATGCGCTTTGCCTTGGAGCTTTCCAGCATTGACGATCAGAAGGAACCAATTATGCAGCTACAGAACTCTCTCAGGTAACTGTGGCCAATATAATTTTAAAAAAAATATAGCAGAACAATTGTTCTAACCTTTATCATAATCATGATGTGGATGTTCTGTTAAACATTTCTTGTAGACATGGAGATTTCTGTTACTACATCACTAACAATTTGTTCCTTTGAGGTAAGACTACCTCTTTATACCTTGCCGTCTGCTCATAGTCTTCGGAAAATGGAGAGACTCTCATAATAGCAGAAATCTTGTGTTTAGCTAAGCCTTCAAAAAGGGGCCAGGTACTGCAATGGTCAGAAAGGTGATATCAATAAATACTCCAAACCGAGTGAATTGACAATTTTGCGAGTAGCAACCATGGAGGATTAGTAGACACTCATTACTCAGTCACAGACCTTTTTCAGGAAAAGGAAATAGTGATTTAACTTCCCAAACAGGTTTAATATGCTGAATTTAATATGCTGGTGATTAAAGGGAAGATACAACATTTGCAAACATCACAAAACGAAATGATCTAATTATCACGAAATACCTTACTGGATTGTTAGGGAATGACAGTCTAAAACATTCTGTAAAATCGTGGCTCCTAGTGTGCTGTCATTTTCAAGAAAAATGGGATTTTTCCAACGCTGGTCGGCCGACCAGCGTTGGAGAAAACTGGCTTTTTTTCAAAAAGTGCTTCTAATTTTTCATAATTAGTTATTCCGCGTTTTCTTTGCAATTGATTACACACCTGTGAAGGGGTACAAGCCTGCTAGACTGATTCTCTGACCTTACAGTTCCGCAAAGGTTATACATTGCTCTGTTTCATCTTAAGTGGGATCAGGGAACCAGACTACAAGATTATGATTGGTTTTCTTGGTTTTTCCAGCATCTACAAGCCCAAATCGTGAAACAAGTCATTTTAACAATATTTGCTATAACATACTAATCCTCCAAATCCATTTATTTCTGAAACTTGCAGCAAAAGCAAATGTTGTACATGTACATTCCCTTTAAGTTCCCCCTGTGAAATTGCAGACAGACATTTTACAGAATACCAGTTGGAAACATTATCAGTTACAGCCAGAACTCATTTTGTGTTGTTTTCACTTGAAGATCAATGGGAATTCTAGTACGGAACCAGATTTGCAGTAAGAAGTGTATGCTGTCAACTGTTCAAAACTTCTTTGCAGTCATTAAAGACAGAAAGGTTTGATAAATGTGTCAGAGTTTAAGCATGCAACATACATGTTCTTTTGCCATCATAACCTGGGCTGTAAACGTATCATTTTTCATTTGTCCCACAGAAACCTTGCGCTACAGTTGCGACAGTTAGAGAAGGACCTTTACATGGCCCACAGGGCACTACAGGAATTCCCTTTAGACCAGAGGTAGGTACAAGGAAACACTTGTTTTCCAATACACAACCAGTAGTCTAGGCGATTAAAAAAAGGGCTCGTTTAGGGCAAGAAGAGGCATTTTTCAGTAGAAGTTGGTAACATAGTTATTTCACCTAGGTGCAAGGAAACATTGCAGTTTTCCAATACATAGCCAGTATGGTGAATAGCCCATGGCACACTAGAGGCATTACCTTCAGATTAGAGGTAGATACAAGAAAACAGTTTCATGAAAAACTGTCTCAGGTTATTATACATTTTATACGGCTTTTCTCTGTTCTTTTGCAACAGTTTGTCCTGTCAGATTGCCGATATTGAGCTACAGGTTAATGAATGTAAGGAATCTTTAGCAAATGCCAGCGAAGACCTCAGGATCATGATCAGGTAAGTTTTTGGGGGCAGATATCTTATTTTCCACGAGGTGATTTTGCCTTTTGAAAACTAGGGTCTTTTCCATACCAGGATTTTGTTGTTTATCTTTAAACTCAGCCCACTCTAACATTATCTTGTTAATCCCTTAAATCAGTTTGCTAAGACCCCATAATTCGGTATTGCAAGTTTTTGTGCACCAATTTCGACGATCAAAAAAGGAAAGATGGTTTCATTTCTGGACGTAAACAAATGTTACACTAAATAATTTATATATTGAAAATGTGTGTGCATTTAGGCCACTTGGCAAGGGTATAAGGCAAACCTAGCAAGTCATTCAGTCAAGTGAGACTAATTGCTTCCTGCTGGTTGTGGGCATTTAACCAGCAATAAACTCCCACAGTGGATTTCAATTTGAAAAGAGAGAGTTGAAATCCTGGTACAGGCTTGGACAAAAACCTGAATTTAAGCTCTGTACTTGGGTTTTGTCATGGATGGCTTCTGCGTAAAGCGCTCGCCTCTCACCAAGGTGACCACGGTTCGAATCCTGGCCGCGGATCGCATGTGAGTAGAGTTGTGCATTGGTTCTCTCCTGTGCCACGAGGGTTTTTCTCCGGGCCCTCCGGTTTTCCTCCCTCCGGAAAAATCGAACACTTTCGATCTCAGGCTGTGCTCCGTGGTCATTTATGGGTCAATGTGGCCGGCAGCCATAGGCGCCTTTACGTGTCAGCGGCCCGACCACTTTGTAGCCGCGTCCTTCGCAATTCAGCAAACCAGCTGCGAGTAAGGATGATTAGCCTCCCAAATTATTATCTTTATTAGAGAGATTCACGGCTTGCTATAGTCAATGGTCCTTGAAAATCATCTCAGGTTTTTCTCATCACTGATAATAACACTTTTACCAAATGAACGTTGATGTAAATTTTGCTACGGACATCATGAAGTCAAAGAATGGATTGGGTTTTTCAGTTTTTACAAATTATTACGTATAATGGTTCTGAGCTTTTGCCGAATATTTGGACATCTGTTGAAAAAAAGTTCACTTGAAACTTTGAAAGACTACCTTGTTATTTATTTTTATTTTTATTTTTTTTGTCAGCTGCTTTAAAGAGATTCAGTTACAGAGAGCTGTGAAGAGAAAGTTACAAACATGTAAGTCAAAAAATTATTTCATTTAGTCCAAAAATAGTTTGGTAATTTAGTTTGGTAATTTTTGTTTTAAAAGTCGTAATGAAATGGTTTTGAATAATGGCTATCTAAACCAAACGAAGTCACCTGCCTTAGTAGCTTCTGTCCAAGTGAACAGATTCACACAAAATTACCATTCTATCTCTTCTATGTCGTTATGAAGCATGTGTTACTGAACGAGTTACACATTGAAGAAATGCCGATTGTGAGTTGTCATGACATTTAACCAGTTCACGCCGTAATTATTTTGACAAGAACAGAACAAGGCACGGGATTACTTTTCACTCCACCTCAAGCCAGGCGGGTTGAAGCCATCACCCACACTCATATTTCCGGGCTCTCTCACTGCAAGCGGGTCACTGACAGATAATTTTCCGGCCTCGTTTCCTGCGTGTTTAGCTGTCATCTGTTCCGAATACCGCAAACTTCTGCGTGCATACACAGCCTCCCGGCGTTAAGGCTTACTGTTTTTTTTGTTTTCAGCACAAGGACCTCAAGTATCTCGGCGTGTGGAGGTGTGCTTCGGCTCAGCCAAGTGGAGACTGACGGAGGAAGATGGGCAGCTAGGAATGGCAGATGTGGAGCTCAGACAGTTCAAGTAACTATCCAAAATGACCAGATAGGAATTATTTTTCAGATCAGTTATGTAACATACTTATTTGATTACCTGATTATAAATTGGACCATAAGACATAGTTTTGAAAAAAGAAATGTATTTATTTCTCCAATGTGTTCATATAGGGGTATACTCTCAATACAGAATCACACATAGAAATAGTAGTCCTTTGTGACAGAAACACTCCTATATTTGTGAACTCCATTTGTGAACTCAATCTGGACTTGGGCCCTTTTTATATTCAGAAATTCAATTGATTCCATATTAAATCAAGTACTTGGGTATACTCTCAATACAGAATCACACATAGAAATAGTAGTCCTTTGTGACAGAAACACTCCTATATTTGTGAACTCCATTTGTGAACTCAATCTGGACTTGGGCCCTTTTCATATTCAGGAATTCAATTGATTCCATATTAAATCAAGTACTTGAAGATTCTACATAATTATTACTTACATGCGATTGTCAGAAATGAACCTAGATAGAGCCACTTTGAGAAATAACAATACAAAATCCCTGTTCACATTATATCTTGACGAGATTAACTTTTGCATCTTTTTGACTAAAAGTGTTGAAATGCCTCGCCTGTTTTCTATTGTGATAGGGAAATATAAGCTGCAATATCGACAGTTCTGAAGTTTTGACAGTGTGATGAACATAAGTTATGAAGAAATATTAATGAACACATTGTCATGCATTACATTGATCTTGTAAACCAGGAATGTTTGGCCTAGGCAGTATTCCTAAACTGTACCATAAGTTGGTGCTTTTGCAGGGTGGCACTTTGTATAGTTGTTGAAAGGGGGGGGGGAGCATATTGTCTTGAGTGCGGAACTCCAAGACCTTCAAATAGAAAGAGACAAGATAGACACATCCCTGAAGCTTTGGCTACTTGCCAACGCCGTTCCTCAATTTTAATAACATTTCAGATACACTCGTACCACCAAAAATGATGACTCCAGCGAGAATCTTGCTGAGTTGGGCTGGGTGACCATCAACAATCTCCTGGCAAATGATGTCTACAAAGACGTGCTGAGACCGCAGGACACGAGGGGCAAGACCAAACAGGTGGCCCTCAGGGTCATAGCACGGGGCAAGCCTCCAGGTAATGAAGGGTCATAACCGGGGGCAAGGTTAAAACAGGTCAAAGGCAGAGGAAAACCAAGGCCAAGTTCGGGCAAGGACCATTAGTGGACTAGTGGTTGATTTGTGACGTACCTTACGCCTGCGCACTAATAGCAAAGTGCAAACGTCTCTAGTCGAACGCTGGTCAAAATGTCATCGCAAAACGTCTGGATCCTGGCTCCCTGCTGTACGTTATGAACGCGCGCGGCTATGGTTACCAGCGATGCAACCAGCCCCAGTAGGTTGGTTCCAAATAGTCGACTAGCGTAGTTAACCATCGTCGACTAGACAGAGTTCGGGGAAGTGTTAGTCGACCAATGGTTAACTATAGTCCTTGCGCGAACTTGCCCCAATGTGCAGATTTGCATACAGTCAAACTCATGAACCAGCGTCGGGATCAGTACAGGTCATAGATATATGCAGGTAATAGCAAGGGGCTTGCTGATACCTAATAGTACTGGTACAGGTTACTTAGCCTACACTAAGATTTATCTTCAAGCAAACTTGAATCCTGGATCCTGATTGGTTGATCCATGGCCGTGCTACATATAACCATACCGCACGGCCACGGTCCATACCGCACTCTGCGTATTCCGCTGTTTCAAGATGCGAGCGCCATTCCAGCTGCATACGCTTAACTGCTGAATGTCCGTGTAAAGCGTGCTCGTTCCAACTGCACTGCGCGTCAAGTTTGCTTGAAGATAAATTAGTTATCACGCTCGCGCTCATGGAACACGAAAATGTAGTGCGTCTGTGTCCCACATACCTTCGGCCTCGTGGTATGTGGGACACAGACGCACTACATTATTCCGTGTTCCACTCGCGCTCGCACGATAACTAATACAATACAAAGGACAACAACGAGGTCAATACAGGACAAATCCAAGGAAAACCAACAGGCTAATAGTGTGGGACAAGCTACCAGTCCAATAGAGATAGTAGCCATGTAAGGAAAGCTGGTCAATACAAGACAAAGCTAGGGCAGTCCGCAAGGGTCATACAGGTAATACAAGGCTGGCGTAGTCGGGGACAGGCCAGCATAAACGTTGTCTGCGATTGGGCCGCTGATGACCGAGGTTCTCCTGCAAATAAAGTGTGGATACTCATAGTACAACCTTAGCAGAACCCTAGCACATCTGGGTATATCTGTAGGATATCTGTAGGATATCTGTAGCGAATTCGTAGAGATTTCTACCACGGGTGATCTATGAATCTCCAAGAATATATGTACAAATAGCCACGAATAACACTACGAATCAATACAGTTGTCCTACGGATGTCCTATGGTTGCACTATGGATTGATTTTCATGACGTTTAACCACCAGTGGCGGCGCTATGGGGGGCATTTGCCCCCCACGTTTTGTCTTTGACAACCCCCCCCCCCCCCCCCGCAGTTTGCCCTCCCCCCCCCCCAGTTTTCCCCGAACACTTGATCTACAAGTAGATCAATAATGTTTATTTTCTTCGCTGTTCAGATTCATAAAATTTAGGGCCAATTAAAGCATTGAAACATTGGTACTTAAGACAAAACACGCCACACATGCATTTCTACAGCCGTAGATAGTGTGCAGCCAATGTCTTTGTACATTTGTTATACACCATTCTGCGGTTTGATACATTTATCATTCATAAAAACGACTACACTGCTAAGTTGCTCTAGTGGCTTATTTCCGGACCATTGACAATGGTACGCGCAAGCGTACACAGGCTTGAATTTTTTTGACTGCCCCGCCCAAATTATTTTCTTGCCCCCCAATTGCCCCCCCCCCCCAAAATTTTTTTGGGAATCTGGCGCTGCCACTGTTCACCAAGGAAGTTTTGACGAGTTTTAATCTTCTGTAGCCCCTCCATGAACACCCAAGAAAGATGACGGATGACCACGGAGGTACTAAGGATAAATACGGTACTCCCACAGTTCACAAATTTCAAACCGTGGTTATCTGTAGCTCCAAACCGTAAATGTGTGACTGGGGCTTTTGCCATCAGGTATAAAGCCAGGTTCAAACTTCCAGGTCATAGGCAGGGGCAAGCTTCCATGTCAGTAAAGGTTATACAATGCCACCAGGTCAATAAAGGTCATAGCTAGAGGCAAGGTAATAGGTTGGAAAAGGTCTAACGGTCATTGCCAGGGGCAACCAACCTGGTCAGTACAGGAGATGACATAATATGAATGGGCTAACAAGTTCAGGAAACGGGAGGAAAAAGTTCATCCCCTCCCTTTTTACCACTTCCCTTGTTTTTCCCTTTTGTTTTCTCTGTCCAGTCGGGGGAATCTCAGTTCAAGAGAATTTTGAGTTGAGTGTGGTTCCTCTGACCATCCAGCTGACGAACAAGTTTTTCAAGAAGATGATGGGCTTCTTCTTCCCCGGAAGAAATGTGGACCAGGAGTCGATACCAGAGGAGCAAGGCAAAGGTCAAGGTACAAAGTTCAAAGGATATTCATGCTGTATTATTTTTTAACCAAACTTTACATCGGCTTCCAGAAGTTTCATATTGGACCAATAATTATTATGATTAAAAATAACCACAATATCTCCAATTACATTTCCTTAACTAGCCGTATTCAGCACTTTAAAATAAAAAACACAAGTTTAAGTAGTCATTTTACCATTTTGGAACATTCCAAAGACCCAATTACATTGGCAAGCTAGAATTACAAAAGAGTGTGTCACACAGTACACCCATTCATGTTCCATAACTGTGGGGACCACACACAAGTCCTTTGGTACTTTATGGGGACCGAAGATGCTGTGGGGACCTCAGAAAGTCCCAATAACTCGGTCCTGCTTTCCCTAACAATGAAAAACTTTCCATAATGCTAATGCAATGAATTTGCCTGATGCTGATGCAAACTCTTTATTCTTAAATATTTTTTCACATTACAGGTGGTGGTGGTGATGATGATTTGGATAGCCTGGGATCATTCTCAAGGGTATGAGATTGCTTTGTTTTTCTGTAATGCACATATGCCATTAGCTATATCAGTGAATCTGCAAGTGGAGTTATTTAAGACATCAGAGTGTTACCATGGGCGTCGCCAGGATTTTTTTTAGAGGGGGGCAAACATTTTTTTTGCCAAAAAATGCTTGTATTTCTCAACACATTCTCGATTTATCAGTTTTAGAGGGGGGCAGGGACATTTTGCCCCCCCCCCCCCCAACTCATTAAATTTACAACACTTTGTCTTCGCACCTCTTTTTCTTTTCTTTTTTTTCTGTCTTTTTTCTTCCTTTTTTTTTTTTTTTTTTTTGCTTTTCCAGGGGGGGGGGGGGCAAGTGCCCCCCCCCTTGCCCCCCCCCTTGCGACGCCCATGAGTGTTACTCAGGCGAAGTGTATGACTCTGTAATCATGTGGGGGAAAAAAAACTAATTTGCATCGGAATAATGAAAATAGCAGATGAAAATGTATGCAGTAAATAAATTGTAGTGCTGATATAGCACTTTCCATCGTATCAACAGTCTTAAAGCGGTTTACAGTTATTTCCCCATTCATCAGGCCACGACACCACACGGCAGCTGACACCAGTGCACATTCGGCCCTTTACCCTCACAGGTACCTATTTATACTCCTGGGTGTAGAGAGGCAATTGTAGTAAAGAGTCTTGCCCAAGGGCACAAACACATATTGAAACCAAAAGTCGGCTGCCGTTTATTTATTTGTCGGTTTGTCTTTAAATCCTGATGTTACCGAATTGTCTTTTAATACCACCTGAATTCAGACTCAGAGTTTGTTCCATTCAATATTTAGACTGGCAGTATCAGATCAACCAGCAGCGACGAATCTATCACGTCACCCAGAGATTCCTTCAAGGTATTGTCTGTTTTTCAGCTTCTGCCAATTCGGGCGATTCACAATGCAGTGCGCCACCAAGAGTTTGCCACGGAGAGTCCATTATTTAAAGTTTACGGTCGACAAAACATGGCCCATTTGAATGAGTGTCAGTAGACAACTTGAGCTACTTTGTCATAGATTGGGGCATGGCGTTCTGCCGCCTTACAAAAAAACCACCATAATGATAAAAAGACAAAAAAACCACCATAATGATAAAAAGAAAAGAAAGGAGGCAAACGAATATCGAATCATACGCTTAAAAAACATTTGACTGAAAAAACGAACAATTTTCAAATGTCCCGCGCTGCGAATTTGTCGCCCATCTCCCACAATGCACGGGGGAAAATAAACTCTCCGTGGCAAACTCTTGGTGGTGCACTGCATTGAAAATCACCCAAATTCACATAACAAGGGGTGTGGATTAACGGGTAGAACGGGGAACCGGGTACCAAATTGAAAAAAAAAAAAAAAAATCAAGTTTGTTATTGTGAAGAAGGTTAATTACAAAAACTGCAAAAGATATCAAATTGAACTGGCCACTGTGTGCTTGTTATTTCTTCTTCTTTTTTTAGGGCAAAAAGAAAGGAGGAACTTTCCAAAAGTTAAGGGAGGCTACCATCATTGATAAGATGAAGGTAAGGAACTCTTTAAACGCCAAAACAAGACATAATTTCAATTATAACTTGATTTAAGATGAAGGGGGAACTTCGTAAAAAGTAGTTATTGTTTATAATACAAGTCTTGGCTTCAGATGGAATGTAATGTGTAATGTTCTTGTGTCATTTCAGGAAAGAGCAAGAAACAACGTGTTCTACATCATCAAGATCCCCTCCGTGCCGCTTTGCGTCAGCTATAAGGTCAGACAGATTAAAGGGGCTCACACCTTTGTGGATCATTAGTTTTGCCCTAAAGCAGGTTATATGAAAGACCTGCTGATCACATCGGATCCAACCTAGCCCCAGGGCTGACTTTATTTCCAACCTCATTTCCAATAGAAGCCTTGGATAGGAAACTTGCTTCCTTTATTGTGATTCGATACCGCAATTACCAAGAAATGGAATTTTATCATGTACTTGTTGTTATTTCCAACGGCTATAATCATAGCTGCCAACATTTCCAAATTTGAATCAGTAATGAACAAAGCTTTGAAGCAAATTTGCGTCCACTTGGGCGAGCGCGAAGCCATTCTTGGCGTGGGGTCCGGGGCCCGCCCAAGGGCCCCGGGAAAATTTGGTTTCTAGATGCTCTGTGGTGCAATCTGAGGCCATTTCTGGCCACTTTCCTTTAACATTTTTAAGCAGGTTTTTGTTTAAATATAAGAAGAATTTTTGTTTCACATGACATTTAACGAACACCAATATTTCATGAACAAAATAAAAGGGATGCAACATACCTACTACAGGACCCGCGCATCACTTTCATAGAGGGTTCTGTAAGTTGCCGATTTTGCTCTCCTGAGAAACTTGACATCAAAGTCTCTGGAGTTACAAGGACCTCTCTGTTGAGCTTTTGTGATCAGCACAGAGGACAGTACATCAGTGCTCATCGATCCCCTGAAGTCTGTCTTGTTTTTCCTCACTTGGCTAAATACCTGTTCACATTCTGCATTGCTGTGTGGAATTGTGAGGATGCCCAGCATGACTTTTGCAAGTCTGTCATAACATAGCTGCCCAGATGGATCCTTCTCTGCAGCCAGTAATGCCCATTGCTTGTCACAATCTGTTTCATTCTGTACTGCCTCTGGAATATCAGCAAGTTAATACGCAAGAAACTGACTCTGTAGTATATCTGTAGCCTCGTACTTCGTTTCATCTTCTTTAACAAACAGCATGCAGGGAAACTTGTCTGTGAAAAACTTAACAGATGAGAACTTGGCATTCACTCTCAGACTACAATCTGCTACTTCAGCATGTGCAAGAACAACAGATTTCAAAGGAAATTTTGTGACAATATAATCACAAGCCTTTGTGTAATACAGACGCACCATTGCAAAAACTTCTTGCAGTCAGTGTCATCTAACTCTTTGTCCATGATGTCTCTTGTTTCACTTCCAGTGACAAGCTCCTTGTCTTCTTTTTGATTCTTGGGGTTCTTGTAGTTGACATATGTCAAGTCAGTGACTGCTTTAATGGCCTCTGGTCTTACAAATTTGGTGTAGAGATCAAGCAACAGCCTTTCGAGTTCTCTATTCAGTTTATGTACATAAGGACTTCTTGTCTGAAGAATGACACTTTTTCTGTCAAATGCAGATATACTTCGACTGAGAAAGTGTGCTACAGCAAGTTTATACTTTGACTGTAGTGCTGTAGCAATTCTTTGCTGTCTTGTTTCTTCAATCCCATCTTCAGTTTTTGAAGTGTTCCGGCCATGACCTGAAGCTACAGAAGGCTTAGGTGTACTTGTTTTCTTCTTAGATGATCCCGACGGTTTTCCAATCTTGCTGGCCGCTGCTACAAGCATGACAAGTGGATGTAAATTTGGTTTCTTGGTTGTCTTGACACTTTCAGCCCGTTGTCTTTTACAAGTCTGAACTGTTCCATCAACTTGGCGTTTTTCTCCTGGAGATGCAGCATGTCTGTGTGGACTTGATCCGTTTGATGTACTGGGTGGAGTGCTGGAGGACGAAGATTTACTGGCGAGTATCGAGGACACACCATCTGCAGACTTGCTTGTCATGTTGCAACTACCAAATACGAAATGCCTGGATGTTTGGTGAAATTTGGTCAGCAGGGCTTTGCTTTTTGGCCCCTTTCCCCTTGGGCTTTTGCTCCTCCTCAAAGAAGATTTGGAGTGCATTCCACTGATTGAGAAAGCGTGGTAAACACTGACCAAGAGACAGCCATCGGGTGCAAACATGCTTCAAAACTGCTTGAACCTCATTACCGCATAGTTTTTGGAATTTTCTCAATTCCAACTTCCTGTTAACACTAGCCTCAAGATAGTAAAACACATCAATAAGAAGGGAATCAATGGAGAAAGGAATTGCAGATGATGCAGCCTTTGCAGCAAGATCCATCCGATGATTTGGACAACCAAGAACAATTATCTCAGGCTGACACTCTTTCAAGTAAGTCCCAACTCCTTTCAGACAACCAACCATCACAGATGCATTGTCCGATCCCAATGCGGTACAGTTTTGCCATGGCACATCATGCTTTTTCAATTCTGTTATGAGAAGTTTTGCAATGTTTTCACCAGTTGACTGATCTTCCAATTCAGTCATTGACAACAATGAACAGACAACTTGCTTGACCTCACTGTCATAGTAATTGACGACGATTGGGTACAGCTTGCTACTACTTGTGTTGCTTCCATCAGTGGAAATGGCAAATGGGCTTGCTTTCATAGACGATATCATTCTGCTCTGACCATCTTTAGCCATTTCATGCATCAAACATGTAGTTGTGGTCCTAGCACTTGAACACTTCTTTACCTCCTCCAAATTTGGAAAGGCTTTTCTCAACAAAGGCCCGACATGACTAGCTGCAGAGAGTGGAATGTTGTGTTCCAAGTAAAATGCTGTAAACAAGCACTCAGCTCGTGTGACATGTAAATCTTGTGATGTGGATGCCAACGATGTCAGTTTCATTGTTGAATGAGCTTCGGTCCTCATGCTCATGCTATCTACATGCAGTTTTGATTTTGTGTGCTTAACGAGTTCATTACGACCGCCGTGTGCGATGGAGATATCTCGCCTACATACCTTGCAGAACGCATGCTGTTTGTCCTTTTTTGACGATGTGATGAAATCAAATTCCTGTCCGTATTTTTCCCGTAAAACTGACCCTTTCTAGTTGCCTTGGTAGTTATGGTGATGTCGCTCACATAACATTAAGTGTGAAAAATTGTTCTGTGAAAACTACAAACGTCAAATAAATATGTGCACAACAACTACCGAAATACACGCGGCGCGGCGCAGCACGGTACACATGGCGATTTTTCGGTGGCACTCGCACGCTGGTTCCCAGTGTTTATACACACGTACATAAACGAACAAGCTGGTGCCCAGCAATAACGCTCCTATTAAGGCTCCTCACATTAGATTTGAAATCAAGTCGGTAATTGATCGGATTTAGTCCGCCTGCGCTTTGGATTGCGGAATGTTGAACTGCGCAGCGCAGGTTCACATAGCGGTGGCGCAAGCAGACAAAAATGACAGTATCCAAGGACTCATTTCAAGTCTACACTCAGTTATTCTTCTGTATTTCGGTTTTGCAATGAAAAGAACGTAATAGTATCGATACTACTAACCGACGTGTGAGTGTTTCTGTTTTGTTCGCATTAGAAACAACGCAAGTACAAGAGAAAAAGTATCGATTCCATGTTTTTCAACGTTTTGGTTTTATTTCCAATGAAATCAATGCGAGTACATGACAAAAAAGAATCGATCCAAATCCGAATTCCGTGAATTCGGTTGTCAAATCAAAAACTGGGGCCGACATTGTCGAATTCGTAACTTTCAAGAGCAATTTCTTTTTTTTGTATTTTTTTCATTAATTCGTAACAATTACGACTTCTTCGTAACAGTTGGCAGCTATGTATAATATGTTTTCACGATCATTGTAATTATTATGTCTGCACCTTCTCAAATGTAATCCTTTCCTTTACAATTTGCTCATTTTTATATGGAATGTGATACTAACTTATTGGCTGGATAATATTATAACAGGTAAACTTCAAAAAACAAAGTTCTGTTGTTGTGACTCAAGATTTGACTCTGTTTGACCCCGCATACAAAAACGAACACTGATGTAAAGCACAGGCAGGCACCAGACCATTTCTTATTTGCATACGTATCCAAAAATTAGATATATGCAAATGATCCAATACCAGGGTGACACAACAGGTAGTGTTGGGAGTGTACTACTTGGCACCATGAGAACGAGGTTGTATCGGATCGTGTGTCATTTTATAAATGTCATATCAAATGAATCAAGGCCCCTCAAAATGTTATTCCTATTTAACACTTCCAAAACTGGCTTTGAGAAAACAAACTGTCTTTTGTCTTGGTAGGGAGAGAAGGAGAAGAACATTGAGGATGTGCACAATTTCCACCTGGTTCTGCCATCGCTGGAGTATCACAACTGCACATGGACTTGGCTGGATTTACTCATGGCACTCAAAAAAGAATACAAGCAAGCCCTGGTCTCACAGGTATTGAGCACACACACTTCTTTGGTAACATTTCCTGAGCTAATTTACTTGAACTGCAATAAGCACAGATAGTTGTGAAGCACAGAAACTAGTTGCTGAGAAGAGACTGGTTACCACCCCAGTCGTGACACAGACTTGCCCGATTCCTAAGGTCAATATCGTTGGAAGTGTTACAGGACGACAAATTTTTGAGGCACAGAAACTATTTTTTAGCTGCTAACTCCCTAGGGGGTGTGCACAATTATATTGAAATTGCAGGATTCAGGTCTGTTAGGATTAAAACTTGTCACATAGTTTTGCTGATAAATAGTTTTCTGTGAAATTTGGAGTTGTATCATTGAATGGGCAATCGAAGGCACCATGGATGTAATGGATAGATAGAATACTATAGTACTACTGTAGATAGTATACTACAGTCTTCATTCAACTGATCAGTGGAGTGCATGGGTGTCCCACAGACTTGGTTTGCATATTTGGCTCATGTGTTTATTGGTTTTCATGACAACACAGGCTATCAAAGAGAAGCTGAGGTTCAAGATCGGACACAAGGAGGAGGGACCATCAAACTCTGATACAAGGTGGGATTTTATATGCTGGTCTGTTTTCAATTGTCAGTAACATACGCTGAGTGGCTGAGGGGGGTCTTGCTAGTTGGCTGACTGGCTGGCTGGCTCCCCGGTTGGTTGGCTGGCTGGCTCCCCGGCTGGCTGGTTGGTAGGCGGGCTGGCTGGCTGGCTGGCTGGCTGACTGGCGGGCTGGCTGGCTGGCTCCCCGGCTGGTTGGCTGGTTGGCTCCCCGGCTAGTTGGCTGGTTGGCTGGCTGGTTGGCTGGCTCCCCGGCTGGTTGGCTGGCTGGTTGGCTGGTTGGCTGGCTCCCCGGCTGGCTGGCTGACTGGCAGGCTGGCTGGCTGGCTGGTTGGCAGGCGGGCTGGTTGGCTGGCTGGCTGGCTGGCTAGCTTGCTTGTTTACAAGCAATCTGGCTGTTTGATTTTTGGCTGACTTGCCAACAGGTTTACATTTTGATTGGTTGGCCGGCAGGATTGCAGTCTGTTTTGCAGGTTGGCAACATCACTGACTACTTGGCTCATGTATTTTATAGCGGGATATTTTGCAAATTGTTATTATTTACTTTTTCTCCAGGGAGGACGCAGATAAGGCGAAGTTGCTCATGGGTGCCAAGGTTACCAACATTGTAAGTTTGGAAAGCTGTATGGACTTTAATAATCGTCAACAAAAACCTTGACACAGTTATGTTAAACTGTAGAACTGTTTTTGTAAATTCCCATCCTTTATACCTTTCGACACATGTTGATTTTTCTGATGTCACGTGATTTAAGGAATATTCATCAGTCTCAAATACAGTGAAATCTCGATCAGTCAAACCTCAAGGGAACAGGTTCAAAATTTGACTTAAACCAAGTTTTTAGTTAAGCAGGGTTGTACTGTATATCAATGTTTTACTACTGAAGGGAATGGATTCTTTGTTTGACTGAACTGTTGTTTTGAGTTATCAGAGTTTGACTTATCGAGATTTCACTCTCCTTTTTCTCACTTAAATTTGCCACCTGTCTTTTGTTTCCTAGGCAACTGAAGAGAAATCTTCTTCAAAGAGGGCCCTTTTTGGTAAAGGACAAAGTAACCACTGATAGACACTGCAATTACAGATGACAAAGGACAACCAGTTTGTATAGATGCTTCAAGTTTGTGGAGTAATCTTTTTCCATATTATGCTGGCCAATATTAAACCTATGTGCTTTTCGTTTCTTTTTTTATTAGTTTTTTTATTGAGTAAAAACGTATATGAATTGCCGCCAAAGAATCATGTCGTATTCCTGATCTTCATTATATTCAAGATGCTAACTTGAGTTGTAAAAGAACCAGACTGCAACAAACTTGCTAATCAGCAATTTGATTATTCATGTTAACGGCTGTTAGCTTCAAGTGTTGCAGCATATTGGGACAGTGATGTGTTAAAACAAATACATTTGAACTAAATGTTGAATTGGCTCTTCACTTTATCCTCCGCAGAATTTTAAAAGAGGATCCGTTTATGTGATGAAAGAAAGCATGTCAAATATATATCAAGTGAAAATGTATATTAAATATTGATAAAAATTTTATATCAAATGATGGAGTTTTTATAATCAACCATGTAATGTTTTGTTACCTTTTCACAGAATTCCTTTAATCATAAATCTTTGGTTTTTACATTTGTCGTGTATTAAACATTACAAATATCAAACACTGAATAATGTGAAATTAATATTTCTTTGATGGGAAATACTCATAAAATAATAGTTTACCCACCCAAAACTCATTGTACAATTGCAGATAAATGAAAAAAAGATTAAATTCAAAGAATTATGTAACAAAATTTGACCCAATTGTATTATTTAAAATCCTTAAGTATCTAATATCTTCCTTCATAAACTTCCCCCTGAAATAGAGTTTTAAACGTTTTGTTACAGAGAAATAAGTGTGACAGAAGTAAACTGGATCAATTTTGTAATTTTTTACACAAAAGTTATGTGATTCCATTTCTTTTAATTGACCACAAATATCATTCACTGTTGGCAAAGAAATGTTTTATGGACATAACAAAATGGTATTGCTTCGTAATATGTCTGTTTGTTGAAAGTAACAAATAAGTCATTTATCAATCTCAAAATCATTATTTCGTCAATTACTGCATTTTCAATGAACAATATAATGTGTTTTACTTACAGTCTGTAATTCACCAATATTAGTAAGTCTTTGTATTCAAAACAACAGGAGATACAAAGTTGCTATTCTTCAAGCAATTGGCAAAAAGTTCAGTTGTCTTGTGTGTAATATCCCCATCACACTTTAGCTTTGAACTGACTATATCAGCGATTTTCTATAGTTTTAATATTTAAATTTGAAAATTTAAATTTGGCTTTGAAAACACAAGTTGTTATTTAAACTTGTGTACCCAGGTACCCAAATGTGCAAGAAATGTCGTCATATGCAAATCGTCTATTATGAGATTCCGTTCCGTGTCTAGTAATGTTGAATTTTTGAGTGCAATTTTAATATTGTTAAATTATTGTAGACAAAATTTTCTAGCAGCGCAACCTACAGTGTAATTTTAACTTAATTCTGTAAAATTATGTCTGCTTAGCTACATTTATGACTACATTTGGTACAAGTCTAGACACATGAATAAATCAATCCTAACAGAATTTTTATAAATTAAAACTTGATTGATATTTTGCATCTTTTGAAATGATCGACAACCAAGCCTGGGGCGTTTCAAAACACTGTTCTCGTGTGACCCACGAAGAGTGTTCTCTGGTTGCTGATTACGAATGCCCAGGTGCGTGTGGAGTGCAGCTGGGTGAAAATTCAAGATAGCAGCCTCCGTATTTAAATGCCCAATAAAATGACAGCGCTACTAATTTAATTTTAATACAAAAATAATTACAATCCAGGAACAGCTATAAAAAAATTGGCAAAGACAAGGCTGCCAAGCCCCTCTGTTAGGCCAAAAAAAAAAAATATTCAGTCTCTGGTCAGACCAAAGTTCCGGAATTGACGCGGCCACGCGGCTTTTTTTTTTTCCCCTTCAAGCTTGGATTGTACAGACAAGGTGGGTACTATTTTGCTTTGTTGGTGCCCTCACGTACATTGGTGTCCTCCATAATTTTCCTTGGTGCTTTCGATCATTTGCCTTGGTACAATTTCCCATTCCTTGGTGCTCTTCGGTAAAAAAAATTGAGGACGTGCGGAAATAGAGGGCGTTGTTGGAGCTACCGCGGAATATTTTGGAAAAAAAAAGATCGACGGGCATGATTATAATCGACGCACGTGCTGACCAGGGGCGACTTATTTTTTTTTTTTTGCCTTACCATGTGCAATGTTATTTTTTGCACTGAATGAGTGCTTTCAATTCTATATATATGCTCAAAAATTAACGCAATTTCCGGTAGTCCGCCATCTTTGTTCTTGACATTCTGTGTTTGCATGTTGGTTCTTGTCAGTTGATTGAATACGAGAGCAAGGTTTTGAATACACCCCTGGTGTCTATTGCTCCCTCTTGGGAAATCAAGGTTGCTTTCTTTTCCTGTATTCAGAATGGCCTAACCCTAAAGGGGCCGGGTTAAAATACCCAAGAAATTTCATGACCAAAGGTCAAAGGGTTTGGGATTATGGCCAATTAATTATTCATATGTATGAATGGCAATTCTGGTCTGTGTACCCAACGTATATGGAAAAATTTAGTTTTCATGACGCGTAGCACCGGAAAAATTGTCACTGCGCGACAACCCCTCGTCCGATTTGTATGTTTTTGGTGGCAAAAGATGCGCAAGGCTCGAGGCTAAAAAGTCATAAAAGCTCGGGTCGCGAAATATTTTTTTTTTAAGGCTATCGTGGAAAAAGTCAAGGGGGGTGGATTCCGCCCCCCCCCCCGCCCCTTTTTGGGTTAATGACTTATGAACTAGATATGTAAACTGTTTTTGACCCGATCTATTCGCTAATAATAGTAACCAGGAAAAAATGTGAAAGGTGCATGACCCATGACCTCAAGAAAATTCTAGCAGTCTGATGAGCCCTCTCCAAACTTCCTTGGAAGTGTCCTCATATACATTGGTGCCCTCCATCATTTGCCTTGGTGTGGTTTCCCCATTCCTTGGTACAAACATGCGAGAAGTTGCTGCAATAGAGGGCGCTGTTGTAGCTACTGCGGACAATTTGAAGAAAAAAAAAGTTGAAGCGCATGATCAAAATCGACGCCCGTTGACCAGAGACCGACTATTTGATATTTTTGGCCTTATACTAAGCAGTTCAAAACTCCAACTTTGTTTAGAAAAAAAAATGAGTTTGGCTAATTTGCATCATTGCAATTGTTTTACTGCCCCTTATTTACAAATCGCTTAAAGATCATCACGGGTTAATTTTATAACTTTCTTGCTTTAAGTTTTTGTGAATATGTTATTAGAAATACAACATTTTATGACGTCACACTTTAATTCCTTTTTCCCTTTATTAGTATTCTTCTTGAAAAGTTTATCCCTTTTTTATTTGATGTCTTTCAGTCATTAAAGAAAAAGAACTTAAATTCAGTAACACGTTCAAATTAAACGCGCAATACAACATGATTTTTTTTGGGGGGGGGATTGTTTAAAAGATACCTAGTTAACATTATTGGATCTGAGGAAAAAAGTTTCCAACAATTTCCTATGGGTTAACTATTAACCTTACGGTTTTAATTTAATTTGGCAAAAACTAGACTTTTCTTGAAACAAGACATCTTCATTTTGATTTTTTTCTTTAATTACAAAAGTATTAGGGACCTACAAATCTCCTCTGAATTTTAAGGATAAATCTTAAGTCAAAGACCCCCAGGTTTGTTCTAAAATGCACCAGAGAGCTTCTAAAGTTCAAACAATTTTGGGTTTTTGAATCACAGCAAATTTTCCCCCACAAATTTGAAAAAAAATCCTGGGGAGCTGGAGAACCCTGGGACGATACGAATTAGGCCTAATTTGGAATGAAATTTCGATTACATCTTGAATGATTGAATGTTTTTATATAATTTTTTTGCGAAAGAACATGCATGGGCATGCAGAACTGAAATGAAAAAATAAATTACAAAATAAAATTATTTCCCTACCTAGTAGGACCTGGATTTTTTTTTTCAGGCCGTTGGCCGTAGACTGCATGACACACATTGACACACTTTATTTTTTAGCCTTACTAGCAATAGGGCAAATACTTTTTAGGTTACGACTTAGGCCTAAAGAAAAAACTACCAAAAAGTGCCTTGAATTTGAGTCGATTCCCAAAAGCATTATTTTTGGTTACCACGAAATTTGTTAGTCTTTTTAATACTTAAAAGTGTTAATAAATAGTCCAGACTTGCGTGATTATGACCTGTCTCCTGCGCTACTCCGCGATCGACAACAATGTGGTGATCGTCAAACAACAGGCGGCGCTCTTCACAATTAACGGTACAATCTCAAAACCTGTCAACTCAATTCTTAACTCAATTCCTAAGCAAAAAGAAAAACGGATAAAGAAATCATTTCCCAATTCCTAAAGCAAAAGAAAAACGGACGACGAAACCATTTCCTAATTCCTAAAGCAAAAAGAAAAACGGATAACAGAAACCATTTCCCAATTCCTAAGCAAAAAGAACAACGGATAACTAACCTATTTCCAATTTCCCACGCAAAATAGGATAACGGACTTCGAATCTTAAATCCCATCTCGACAGCAAAACGAATAACGAATAACGATTCCCATTTCCCTATTCGACAGCTAAACGGAAAACGAATAACCGACTTGCGATTCCCATTTCCCTATTCGTCAGTTAAACGGAAAACAAATATCGATTCCAATTTCCTATTTCGAAAGCAAAACGGAAAACGAATAACGATTCCCATTTCCAAAATCCTATCGCGATAGGATTTGGGATTTCTCAATGCATGATGGGAAAATTCGGACTTCGAAACTTTTTCGTAACTTCGTCCCCAGGGTTAATTTTATTTTGTAACTTTCTTTCCTGTATTATGTACCTGTCAGTGCGTACCGCTCAACACTACGTGAACGAGAGCGAATTTGACACCGTTAATTGTGAAGAGCGCCACCTGTTGTTTGGTTATCCCGATATCAACATTTATGACATTGACATGTGCGGCAGCTGCAGCCGCGGCGCTAGCTGCAGACATAACATGGATAATGCAGCGGTGGGCAAGGCCTGTATGTACGTCAGGTAAGTCTGGACTATAAACTTGTAAAATTCAACTTCCTTTCGGCGTACTGGAAAGATTCTCATATCTGGACATCACTAATTTTTCTCTACAGTGAGCTATGCCACCTTTAAAAGGGATAATATGTCCAAAAATGTTGGATTTAGCAGGGAAATTTGCTAGAACAAAAGTTTCAACTGAAATTTCACAGAAACTAAGAAAGTGACATTTCATCAAATTCAAAACACTCCCATGCATAAATTGCAAGTTTATTTACCAGTTACAAAGTTAGAAGAAAAATTTATTTTGGGGTAATTTCCCAATTTTATTTTATAAGTGCATATGTGAACCCTTTGAAAATGACCAAAAAAAATAAGAAAAAAAAATTCTGACAAACATCTGGCTGGGTATGTAAAAGAAGTAAGTACGGTCACGAGCCTATGTGGCCCATCAGGCCGGCGTTGAGGTTTGTCAACAAAGAGGTTTGGCAACACTATACACGAGGAAAGTTGGGCAAGCTTCGAAGTCCACCACATTAGGGAACACAACTTTATATTTGTACCCCAAGAACTATGCCGGTAATCCTTACTTTTAGGACACCTCTATTTTTTACAAGTTCTGTTCAAAACTGACTTTTGCAGATGACTGTCATGACTGTCCAGTACCAAAGTGACTTCTTCAGGCTAAAGCAGTCTTTTTTCTTCATATAAACTCATGTTAGTTGTAATTTTGAAAGCACTTTAAAAAAAAAAAGGTGTCTTTCCTACCTTTTTTCACAGTCAGACATGCATGTTGTATAGTTCTCACACGCGTGAAAGCCCTACATAATGAAAGCCCGATGCTGATTGGCTGCTAAAAAAAATAATTAAGATGTTTATTTTTTATCAGCCAATCAGCATCGAGCTTTCATTGCATCGAGCTTTCACGTTTGCCATCTTGGTTTTTGAGTCTGTTTTCTGGTTGTCATCGTCGTCTTTTACCCCTCAATTTCCCACTAAAATCAAAGCCCTGCCCTCTTTCCACAAACTTAAATCTGCTGATATTCAAGAAGGTGTCATTGCCAACTGTTCAAATGTGTCATGAAATATCAGAATGTCACTTTTGAGTGTCATTTAGTCAGCTGTTGTGGTGAGTCTTTCCCTTCCTATATAGGAACGGGGTCCTAAAAGTAAGGATTACCACTATGCCCAGTACCTCTTGACATATGTTTAGGCCTATATCGCTAACAAGTGTAAGGGTTGAATTGATCCCGATGGTGCAATAAAATTATGAAAACAGTCCTCTTTCCGTACCGAAGCTACAGCTTGAGTTTTAACATTTTAACGTGCAGGCGTGTAAAGCCTTGTTGGCGTGATGTCAGAGCCTTTTGGTCTGGAAACCGATCCCAGACACCGTTTTTGTAGTTGCATATTGTGGGCAGCGTCAGATGGGCCGGTCACGAGGCCATGTGATAAATGCTGCGGATAATTTAGTATCACACTGATGCTCCGGGCACTCCTTATGTCC